TGCGGATAAGTGAAATTCTCCTCTTGATTTGGGAAAATTACTGCAAGCATTCCTAAATCACTGTCACCTTTTCATTAATTGCAAAGCAAACTTGAGAAGCTTTAAGGATTATAATTTAGCCACAAAAACTGGTAGATCTGGTAGGTCTGCTTTCAAAAGAAAGCTTGTGAAAGCTTTCTTTGGGGCATATTTGATCAAGAGAGTTAATGTTTTTGTGCGGATCACGGATAACATTCTTTGTTTCTGAGAGAATAGTTAGGGTTAGGGACCTTTTAAGTTCTTTTGCTAGCTTATGAAGACAATGGAGCCAGTTCTCACTACCCGATCTGTACCGGAAGCACAATCCGTACCATATACCAGATATAAATCCAGGTTGCCAAAAATAATGTAATTATGGTACTAAAAGTACTTACTTTTATCCTTAAATCAATAAATAACGCTATACTGTATCTCTAAAAAAAATCTTTAAGGACTATTCCAAGACGATTTGAAGCTTTTTACATTTTCTCTGTTAAACTCCTTGTATGACGTCATCATCAGGCACATGCTCAGAGCAGTCTGGCAAAATATGATTAAACCATGCAGATAAACATGCTTTTCTTTAGATAACGCACTATATATCATGAGGTTAACGCGAAAGGAGAAAAAAAACCTCAAAAAGACTATTTATGTTTAAATCCAAAGCTGAAAAATGTAGCTCCCAGAAGTAGCGTATGATTCCATTGCCGGCACAGACAAGTGATAAAACAGAAAGGATTTAATTGCGTGTATTTTCTTATTAAATACATTATTAAACTTTAATGCATTATAGATTAGTACGTTTACTACTCTTAGTTAGGGAAAAACGTAATCAAGGTAATTTTTTATGAAGGGCGACCCAGATGCATGTTTGGGCAAATGAGCTGATGGTACAGATCGTGCTTCAAGGAAGGATCCAATAGTGACGCCAGTAGCTACCAAATACAAGATGAGATAAATTTGCTTAATTTTATAAAAAAAGCTGCTAAAAACATGTTAGCATTTGGTTGGGTACCATGTAGTCACTTTTAACTTCTTGAGCTTCTTTAGGTTTATTCTAGTTATTCTTATAACTCAGAGGAAGTTGCAGACAGTCTGTTTTTCTGAACTGAGGTTCTGGACGTGGCTTCAGGAAAACTTAACTTGAACATGGATTTAGGAATGAAATTCTTTTAGCCATGTTGTCTCTCTGCTCTCTCCATTTTATAACAGATTGGCACATCTGCTACTGTTATTGTCTTTGAGAAAAATGTGCTAAAATTTCATAAGTTAAGGACTTTTGGGATATATTATATTTTTACATCCTGGTGGGAAAACTGTTTCTCTGTGTCTCAAAGCTTAAATAAAACTGTCTGGAGAGCTGAATGTTTTCCATCATGATGTGTTAAGAGAAACTGACATAGTTTGGGGATTTCTACAAAGGGAACCGTTATCTTTTCATTTTTCAAGGAAATATTTCCTGCAAAGCACTAGCTGTTCACGTGGGGAAATGTTTAAGACTAGGGATAATCCTCGGTTAGGATAAAATGAAACATTTGGCTTCATTGTGATCTAGATTGCATCCCTTGCTGATGTATCACGTGGACCACATCCCATAGGGAATAGTTTCTTTGCAAATGCAAGTGTTCTTCTGAAGACTTCTAAAAGCTGTCCGCTCATTGTTCTTTACTGGATCGATTACCGGAAAGAGAGGAAGCATATAAAGAGCAAGAAACATTTTCAGTGTGCGGCTGGCGATGGAAGCTCAGGGGGATTTATATTCCTGTTTTGTAAGTTTGGTAATGTGGCACAGACACATTACCACTGTTCCCTATTGTGTTGTGTAGTGTGGCATTTTCAGAAGCTGAAGCCATTAACAATGCCTTCTTTTTTTGAGGAAAAAAGACGTAAAAGTAACAGTCTACCAAACACAGCGCCGCAGTAATGAGGTGAGGAAGATAAAGGTTTGATGAAGGATAATGACGTGAAGCAACCATATTCAAAACACCATTATGGATGTGGATTTGCTCTCTCCTGCTGATGCATATAAATATGGAAATGAAAGAGCGCTATTATTCCTAGAATAGGAACAATAGAAGAGCAAAGAACTTTTATTCTCCAAATATAACAACACTCGGTGTATCTATTATTCAAATACTCAATAGATCATCAAAACATCCACACTTTAATGCAAGAGAATTTACATTTGGTGGCATTGAACTGAGGGCTTTGAGGTTTAAATCTCTTTTAGCAAAGCCAGATCTGTAGCACCAATTTACTCAAAATAAACTTTTTTTTTTACTTTTGATGTTGAGTTACAAAAAGCTATTTGATCTCAACAAAGTTTCACCTTAGGAAACTCAATAAAATGGAAACCTTAAGAATCAATAGGACCTTACTTATGTTTCTACTGATTTAAACCAATTAAATATGTTCATGTAAGCACAAAAAAATGTTTGTTGGGCATTGACAAAAATATGGTGTAGTAAGAACAATCACACTGATGGGGTCCTTAATGTCACTGTCAGTGTCCACATATTTATATAGTGTAAGTAGGGTTGGGAATTGATAAGATTGTGAAACGATTCGATTCCTTATCGATTCTGTGAAACGATTCGATTCCTTATCGATTCTGTGAAACAATGAACTTGGTAAGTGCACGGTGACATTCGTCTACCTTCGCCTGGGACATTCTATTTCTGCCTGCCTCGGTGAAAACAGAATGCAGTGAACGGGAGCTGCCAGCCTCTGAGCCAACCAGGCTACCCGCCTAGTCACAGTCATCTAAATCTAATGGAGAAGGCATCCGTTTAATGAAAAAGCATTACTGTACAATTTCGGGAAATAAACTCATCTCCCCCGATTTAAATAAACGAGCGTCACCTTTCTCCCGCTCCCTGAGCTGCGGAGCAACTTCTTAGCACTTTTAATAACCCTAAAGAGGGATAGGAAATGATTTATTTCCAGAAATGCATATGATTTATTAGGAACCACATTAAGCACAGACAGTGATATAAAACTAGCTACTTACCAGCAGAGTTGCCTTCAGTGATGGTCGTAACTTAAACTTCTGTCCGGAAGCATCAAAAACACGGCATTCGTTAAAATATGCCATGTTGTGTACGCAGGTGTTTCTGCATTTTGGATGTATTTCCTCCCGCAGATGTAATTGCCACTTTGCAATGATTGCAAAGCGCCTTTTTGTCATCTTTCTCTTCCTTAAAATGAAGCCAAACGTTCGATCGCTTTACCCGATGGAACGCCCTTTTTATTTTTTGTTTTGCTTTTCTAGACTTACGCGTGGTCACGTCGTACTTGTTTACCGAATGCCGTGTGCATAATTTGCATAAAAAACACAACGTAAGTCATGCTGCCCAGAGGCTGTGGTGCTGCCTGAAACCGTTAAGAGAATCGTTAAGCGAGCTGCCAAACGGTGCCATGGAATTGGAGCACACAGAACCGGTTCTGAACAGGAACCAGTTTTCGATTCCCATCCCGAAGTGTAATGTTTGCGTCGTTGTTGCTTATCAGTCAGAACATGTCCCTTAAAATCCTATACTGTATGAGCTCCTTAGCCCACATCCCTAAGCAGTAATCTCTGAGTAGCTGCTGGGAGGACCAGTCAAGTATTAGAGAGAAGAAATCCATTGCGACCTCTCCTGTTTATAATTGGTTGTACATCTTTAACATAGATGGCTTGTTTGACTCCTTTGTTAAACTAACTATCATTAGTGTCTAAAATATTTACAGTCATCAAACAGGAGTGTCTTATCCCCTGTTGTAAATCCGCCAGTGTAGCTTCTGTGAAGCTTCAGTAAGTTATGGGTCTGAACTTCATCCCTGAGTTGGACTTTTTGCTTTTATACTGCTCTCACTGAATTTCTGACTGTTACCTTTTGCTCCCACTCACACCTGCTCCCATGGCTCTTTAATTAATGCACTGTAAGATTCAGTGAACGAATGTTCACTGAAAGTTTTATTTCAGTCCAACAAGAGCAGAATAAATAAAATGTATTCAAAGAAATCTCTCTGCTTTGAATCCCAAATTCTCGTGTTAGCTGAGGTGAAAAATACCAGTTTTACAAAGTAACATAATGAATATATGAATAATAAAGGCTATAAAGCAGCCATGCCAAAAAGTTGCAAAAACAGAAAATTTTAAAATATAGAGTAAATTTGAAATGAATAAATATTAGCACAAATTTTAAATGCAGCTGTCTTGGCTGGGAGACTTCAGTACCCGGCAACTTAGTAGCTTCCTTCTGAAATACATGTGCAAAGACATGAATACTTTGTTCCATGGTGAACTTGATTAGCACACAAAGGGAACCTTTCCAACTTTGAAAGGTAAGAAGTTGTGCATGATGGTAATTTTGAATCAAAACTATTTGTGCATTGTAAGTGTGAATTTGAAGTTGCAGTCACATTACAAGTTTTGTAATTGTAGAATAAAAAAAAAAAACAAAAGTACAGATTTTTGGTTTTTTACACCTGTTCAAATGCTGGTGACGATTCTGTCATCCAGGTCATAGTAATTCCAAAAAAGTAAAAAAAACAAAAACAAACAATCCACTAGGCTTGGTTTCCAATTTTAAAGACACGGATTGGTGTATGCAGTTCAATGCAGTGAGGAATCCTCTGATCTTTATATTGGAGGAACCAAACAACCTCTCCACAGACGCATGGCTCAACACAGCAACAC